GCAGCTTCCGTGGCTGCACAGGTAGAGAGCCGGGCCCTAGCATCGTGTGTGGCAACAGAATGTAGTGCTGAAGGATTTCAGAATTGCAAGACCCGAGTTCAAATCCGACCCCTGCTGCTCACTGAGCTGCATGACTCTGAGCACGTCACTCGATGTCTCCAGGCCTCCCTTCCCTCATCTGAAGATTTAGGTGGGGGAGGAGGAATAGACCCCTCCTTGCAGGATGGTAATGAAGACGAAATGCAATCGCGTGTGCTCTGTATTTAGAACAGGGCCTGGCACTCAAGAACAGTGCATCGTAAGCACTTGGTTGTTACTTCTCTCCCAGATGAGCTGGTTTAAGTCGGTTCCAACTTTTCTTGAATTCCCACATTAGGAACATTAGCCTTGGGGGTCTCTAGGCCTCTTGTGGACCATACCATGGGGCGGGTAGAGGCTCTGAGAAGGCCTCTGTCTTGTCTCACTGAAGTGGAAATTTCTGTAAAGCCCAGAGGTGCAGCACGCCAAACCAGCCCAGCTATACTCCTGGCATGGGGACCAAACAGGGACTTTGAAAATGTGTGTTTGCCTAGATCAAGCCTCTAATTGGACAATTGTAGGTCTTCTGGCTTTATGTAGACTTTATGACTTTGAGAGTTCTTAAGCTGGGGTGAGGGATAATTTATGAATGGGATTTCTTTATTTCTGCAGTACATTGACTCATGCTGTTGACCTAGTTGAGGGGCAGGGATTCCATTACTTGCTAATTTCGCTTTGCCAGGTGGTCCTTGCTCTGCCAGCTCCCTCCGGGAGCCACAGCCAGGGGTCCGAAACCCAGAACAGGGTTTCTGGCTGCTTAAGAAATTGTCCTGGACGCAGATGGATTTCCCAGGCAAAGGAATATGGTGCTTGGGAGTTTCTCAAGGAAGCTTTACAGTTTTCTCTTAAATTTTGAAAGCTTATTTTACCAGGATTTTAAAGTACTTTTATAGGAAACTCTCACAGTGTGCACTGAAGTCATCTGGCCTAGAGGGAGGGCCTAATCCCAGAGCTCTCTGCAGCAGAGCTCAAAGCTGTGTCTGAGCCGGTGTAGCGACGGCTCTGCCTTCGCTTACAGATTGTGTTAAGGGGATGTAAGCTTCTACAACAAAAAGACCCTGAAACGTAGGAAGGCTCAAACACAGTAGAAATGTATTTCTCATTCACAAGCTAGTCCACGGCTGGTACTTCTGGCCTGTGATTTAGGAACCCAGGCACGCCTCCTTCCATCTCATGCCTTTGCCATCTTCTCTGGGTCCTTGAGCTAACCTGTGTCCGGCCAGCAGAAGGCTCGGCCACTTCCTAAAGGCCTTGGCCTGGGAATGACTTGCATCCCTTCTTACATGCCCTCGGTGAGGTCACTGGGGCACACCTGGATGCCAAGTGGGGCCGGGAACTGTAGTCGCTTGCTGGAAAACCTCTTCACACGGACAACCGCAGGTGGTAGAAGGGAGAGCGTGGATTTTGGTGGCAATTAGTAATATTTGCTACAGAAAGGGAAATATACTAAAATGTAGTCCACAAAGGGTTAAATAGATAGGGTGCCATTACATCTAGCACCATGAGAGCTGTTGTTGATATTTTTGCCTGTGAATCCCCAGCGTTTGGAGCAGTGCTGAGCATGTAGCAAGTGCTCAGTAAATGTTTGAATGCAAGGACTGACTGACTGAACGAATGAATGAATATTCTACCAGTTTGATTCCTTTGTTCCCTGGCTTAGGCCACCTAATAGAAAGGCCAGATTCCTGGTCAATTGCTTCGGGCTGCCTGGAGAGTGTCCCTACTGGGCCCAGAGTCCAAGAGTTGGTTAAATGTTCCCCCCAAATAATCCAAACACTTTCAGTGATTTATTTAACTTCAATTACTTTTATTGAAAAGAGTAAAAATTGTATAAATTGGAGACCCTCCTAACCAATCTATTGGATGGTGTGGTACCCAAGAATCCCCAGAATTTCTATTTAGAAGTTTCCTTCAGGGGCAGGTGTGAACGGGCCAACCCACCTGCCAGCGGCGGCCTGGCATTGTTTCCTGCAGGAAGGTGTGTTGGGAATGCTAGGTAGGGGGAAGGACAATGGGAAGCCAAGTCCCTTGTTTTTGAGAGATCTTATCAAGTCTAAGATTCCTGTATTTTCTAGATAAGGGCGAGGCTCCAAGAGGAGGCGAGGTGGCAGACCACAGAGAGGGAGGCCAGTCTGTAAAAGATGTCCTGGAAGCTTCTTCTGGAAGTTTAAGAAAGCTAAGAGCTAGGGCCTGGTCGGCTCTTGTGGCTCTTCCGAGAGAGAAAAGTGGAGGCAGAACACGGAGTGTGGTGTGGTTTGGAATCTGAGGCTTGCTCAACATTCAAGGGGTGTTACAAGCTAAATTTTTCCCCCTAAAATTCATACGCTGAAGTCCTCACTCCTAGTGCCTCCGAATGGGACTGTACAGGGAGACAGGTTCTTAAGAGGCAGCTAGGTTCAAAAGAGGTCACTGGGGTGGACCCTAGTCTGTTAGGACTCGGGCGTCATAGCCAGAAGGGGAGGTTAGGACACAGGCACATGCACGGAGGGAAGGCCATGCACAGACCCAGGGAGCAGACAGCCATCCACCAGCGAAGCTGAGAGGTCTCAGAAGAAACTAACCCAGTGGACACCTTGGTTTTGGATGTCCCGCCTCCGGAACTGTGAGAAAATACATTTCTGTCACATCAGCCCCCTGCCATGGTCATGATGTGCTTTGTAATGGCAGCCCAGGCAGACTAACCCATGGGGAAATGGAGTCTGCTCTTCTTGCCCATATTTCTCTCCAGGGCGGGTGCCATGAGGCAGTGCGTGAGCTCAGTGGGCAGTGGGAAATGGTGGCGGGGAGCTCTCCTGGGCCTCTGGGATGCCCCGAAGCTTACATCCTTGCAGGCCGCCCACAGTGATCAGGGCACAAAGGGCGCTGTCCAGCCCGTGAGCACCAGGACTCGCCACCACCTGGTCCCTCCTCTGTGCTGCCCTCTGCTGGCTGCTGGGGTCCAGAGGCACGGGGGTCATGGCCCCCAACCCAGGTGAGCTCCATCTGGAGGGCGACAGAAAAGTCCTGCGTTTCCTAGATCCTAAGATGGCATTGGTTACAAAATACTTCATCAATTTAAGAACAATGTTTCAGGAAGCAAGACATACAGAGAAGCCCGGATTGTAAGAACCGCCCTGATTTTGCTGAAGTAAAAGGGGATCTGCAGCATGTCATTGAATCCAGGAAGTAAAATCAGTGCGTAGAGTACTGGGCACACGGGCTATGACGAGGAGGGTGCTGGGGAGGGTGTGAATGACTGGGCCTGGGGAGGGAGGTCAGGACCCTAGAAAGGGGACGGCAGAGGAGGAGTGTGCCAGGCCGATGAGGCAGGGATGGTGTTCCAGCAGCGGGAACCTCATGGGCAAAGGAACAGGGTGTGTGCATATCTGTAGCAGTAAGAGTGTGTGTAAAGGAGCAGCCTGGGTGAGGCTGGATGGACAGACAGCATGCAGACTGCCAAGGGCCTGGCACGCCATGCCCACAGCCCCCAACATCCTCTGGACCGGAGGGCGGCAGATGAGGCTGCAGGCCAGGAGAGAGCCCTCGCTCCCCGTTGAGCAGGGGTCCCCAGAGCAGATCAGCCGTTGTGGCTCCTTCCCCTCCGCGGCTCCCCGCGTGGGCGCACAGGTGCTTGGTAACTGAGGGATGGTCTATTTAAAGCCCCTTCTGAGTCTGTTCTGGAAGGCACAGTGGGATGGAGTGGGGGAGAGGGAAGGAGCGTGTGAGGAGGAAGAGGTCCTGAGGGGGAACGCTCTGCCCCTGAGCTCACCGTGGGGCTTGTGGCCAGTCCCTGCCACACTCCCGGACTCAGCTTCCTCAGTGGCTTATAGCTCACGGTCATGCGGGCTCGGGAGCCAGCGGCGTGCGTTTAGAGCCAGGCTGCACCGCTCACGGCCTGTGTGCTTTGGTCACGTTACTTAACCACTGGCCTTAAGTCCTCTCCCGTGTGAAACGGGGCTAATAATAGTCCCTATCTTTTAGAGTTGCTGAGAGGATTGAATGAGATAATGCATGCAGAACACTTTGAACCAGTGTCTGGCACCTGCAAAGCACGTTGTAAAAGTTGTGATGATGATGATGATTGTGTCAGACTAGCTTTGTGGGCTGTGAACCTAAAACCAGGGAATCTTCCAACATATTTGGAACTTCGATGTGTAAGAAAGGTCACACCGAGCTCTTCTGGATGAAATAGGTGGGGACCCTGAGCCCAGGCCCTTAGCACCCCCTTCCCCAGGGCTGTCTCCCACCCTCCTGGGCAGTTCCACAGAACCCTTAGGCTCTAGAAAACTCAGGTTGAAAGCACTTGTCCGAGAGAAATGCTGAGGTCCCTCTCAGCTGCTCCTCTTAAATCTAATCCTTCCTTCCGAAGCTTGAGTATATGTCTGAGAAAACTGTCCTTCAGTTATTGGCCGACACTCAAAATCCATGTTCTGCAAAATCCACGTTCTGTAAGCACCAGCTGAGCCAGGCCCCAGGCATGGTCTGGTGAGAGCCAACCACAGTGGACATGGACGGGAGGGTGAGTTACCCACGCGACAGCCCTGACCGCAGAGACCCACAGACAGGCCGCACCAACTCCACACGCTACGTTGGTAGATTTTTATTTAAGGGATTTTACATGTTGTGATTTATCCCTCTGCCCATCACAGTCCCCATAGCTGCTCCGACACTTGAGCCAAGACCTATTTTCAAGGCCTTTTAGGAAGATCCTACGTGCCATCCGCAGTTGTTCTGCGCATCAGCCTGGCCACAGTTTTCCGAGTTGGGCTACCTCTGTCTCCACTTGAATACAGACACGCTGGTGACCTACTCCATGAAGCGTCCCATTAGCATCTTTGGAGCCTGTTTCTCCAGCTAATCCTCTGTCGGATGCTGGAAGCGCGTGGCTGCCTGGGCCACTGTTGCGGTTGCGTGACATTCCGTTTTCACTCAGGGCTTCAGCAGAGTGCTACAGGTCTCATCGTCAACACTGCAGCAAATTTACTGAGCTAGAAGCAGAGCCCGTGTCTCGGTTTAGTGCCATTAACACCTTCTGACACCCTGACCGACAGTGCCCAGCCTCCTTCAGGAAGGAGGCTGCCCCTCCACATCCGTTAGGATAAGTTATGCAGATGTGACTGTCTCCACCGGTCACAGCCCAGGGCAGGTTCCCATCCTGTTGCCTCCAAGTGGGCAGCAATGAGAGCCCTGTGAGTGGTTGTCTGTCTTCCGCACCGTGTCTTGTTCTTTCACCTCCAGTCCCTAGCACAGGTGCCCACGAACTTGACATCATGTCAATCAAATGAAATGGAATGTGGACACCTCTATGGGGCTGATTCAGCGATGACCCAGACAGACCTGGATCCTCACCCCAGTGAGGTTACTATCGGGGAGGGAAGAGAGAGAAGTACAAGTGTGGTACAAGTGTTCACGAATTATTATTGGCAGATGAACTTCCAAAGTCCAGGGTACCTGCTGAGAGCCCTGGTCCCCACGAGAGGCAGGGTTTGCCTTCAGGATTTGCCAGCACTGGGCCTTGGGAGGACTCTGGAGAACGTCATCTCGGGGTCCTTAAATGGGAGAGCACCTCGCTTCCTGGGACTTCAGGGCCCACAGTGGAACTCTGCCCGGGTTTTTCAGCATAAATAGAAGGCTGGCCCCTTGTTGTGTCCATTGTTTTATTGCCCATTGCACTTTAGACATTGGACTTCTGGTTTCCATGGCAGACTTTGGAGGCCACAGTGAGCGAAAGCTGGGAGAATGGACCCAGTCCCCAGCCTGTCGTTCAGACGCCATCTCATTGACTGCTCTCTGCTTTTCCTTCATTCGCATCTGCCTTTAGTCACGCGCCGGCTGCTTCAGCCACCTTGGGCTTGTCCTTGTTCTCCAGGTACTTCCATTCCTGAATGACCAGGTCCTCTCTCTGTTTACAATGACTGTTCTTGCACCACTGCCCCCTTTTACACCTGCTGAGCTTCTACTCAGTCTTTGAAACAATCCTACATGCCACTTCCTCCAGGAAACCTTCCTAGATCTCAGCTGGAATATTGTCTTTTACTCTTCTCTCGCCTGTGCCCACACAGAACTCATACATGTATGCCATTCTGCATGGGCTTGAGTTAAATCTCTTACTTTCCTCATGGTGTCGTAAGGTCAATGGAGGCAAAGCTTTTGATCTTGCTGGTCTTTGGACCTGCATGTGTATGAGAAGTGCATGGAGTTTTGGCTTCAGTTACTAGGTCTTTCTGGATATGTGAACTTAGATAAGTTACCTAATGTATCTGAGTCCTAGTATTCCAGTCTGTAAAATGGAGGTTTAAAAAAAGACTTTCCTTACAAGCTTATCGTGAGCATGAAATAAGAAGACTCGTAGGAAGTAATAATGACAATGGAATCGTAGTAATGTGAGCTAACCTTCATCAAGTGCTCACTTAGGTACTGATCTAAAGTCTTTACAAGTAGCTCATTTAAAACATTGGTTTGTAGGAAGTTACAAAATAGCACAGAGAGGTCTCTTGTAGCCTTCCCCCAGTTTCTCTAGTGGCTACATCTTACACAGTTACAGCACAGCATCAAAGCCGGGACACTGACATCAGCCTGACGGCGTGTGAGAGTAGTTCTCTGTCTGTATCATTGTGCAGATTTGTGTAACCACCGTCACAATCAAGACACAGAACTCTTTCATCTCCACAAAGGTCTCCCTCATGCTGTCCCTGTATGGTAGTACCCACCCTCCTCCCTCTGCCGCCCGTAACTCCTGGCAACCATTGGGGCGTTTTCCATCCACATAGTCTTATCATCTCAACAGTGTTATCGAAATGGGGTGACACGGCATGTGACCTGGTGAGATGGGAATTTTCTCACTGAGCACAGTCTATCCAAGTTGCTGTGTGGGTCAGGAGTTCCTCCCTTTGTCGTTGCCGACTGATATTCCGTGATGTGGATGTACCACCGTTTAACCGTTGAAGGACATCTAGGGTATGTCTAGTTTGGGGCTATTGCCAAAGAAGCTTCTAGAGACATTTATGTATAGGTTTCCATGTGAAAATGTCTTCATTTCTCCGGGATAAATGACCAGAAGTACACTTGTTGGCTTATGGTACATGCATGGTTAGGGTTATTTTTTTTTAAAGAAAGAGTCAACTGTTTTCCAGGGTGATTGTACCATCTCACATTCCCACTAGCAATGCATAAGTAACTCAGCTTCTCCCCATCTTCACCTGTATTTGGTGTTATCACTATTTTTCACCTTACCTGTTCTAATAGGTGAGCAGTAACGTCTCTTCATGGTCTTACTTTCCACGTCTCTAATAGCTGCTGATGTTGAGTATCTTTTCACGTGCTTGTTTGCCGTCTGTACATCCTCTTAGTTAAAATGTCTCGTCGTGTCTTTGCCCATGTTCTAATTGGACTTATTGTTTGTCTGGACTCTTAATTGAGGTGTAATTGACAGAAAACATCAGTTTCAGGTGTACAACATAATGATTCAGTATTTGTATATGTTCTGACATGATCATCATGAGTCTAGGTACATCCATCACCATACAGAGTTTTTTTGTGATAAGAACTTTTAAGATCTACCCTCTTAGCACCTTTTAAATATGCAGTACACTATTATTAACTGTAGTCACCAATCTGTACATTATGTCTCTGTGGCTGATTTATTTTATAACTGGAAGTTTTACCTTTTGACTCCCTCCACTCACTTTGTCCACCCCCCACCCCCCTCCTCTGTCAGCCACCAATCTGTTCTCCGTGTCTGTGAGCTTGGGCTTTTGTTTGTTTGTTTTTTGGTGTGTGTTTTTTTAAAATTTCACATATAAGCGAGATTATATAGTATTTATCTTTCTCTGACTTATCTCAGCATAATGCTTTCAAGGTCCATGTTGTTGTAAATGGAAGATTTTCTTCTTTTCATGGCTGAGTAGTATTCCATTGTATATGTACCACATTTTCTGTGTCCATTCATTCAATAATGCTGTTTCCATACCTTGGTTATTGTAGATAATGCTGTAATGGGCATGGGGTTATGTGTGTCTTTCAGGTTACTCTTTTTCTTTTCTTTAAGTCAATGCCTAGAAGTGGAATTGCTAGACCATATGGTAGTTGTATTTTTAGTTTTTTGAGGAACTTCCATACTGTTTTCCAGAGTGGTGGCACTTGCATTATTTTTTTTTAATGTGGAGTTGTGACAGTTGTTTATATGTGCTAGAAATGAGTCCTTTGTCAGGTATGTGCTTTGCACAATTAGCTCATTTAATCTTTATACCAGCCCACACAGAGAACACTAACATTATTCTAATTTACTAGGTGGTGGGTTGAGAAAGTGCGTGGTAGCACTATGCCTGGCACAGAGCTGTGTGCCTTGAATAAGCATTTACTGAGCACTCACTTCATACCAGAATCTGCTTGTCTTAAGTTGAGTCCATCCGAAATAAGATTAGACACCAACACAAGGATACAGATGCCGTGAATAATAGGCTTTATGCCTATGGAACTGAGGCCAGAGGCACACGGGAGCCAGGGCACTTTGGTGGGAATGGTGGGGCTGCTGGAGATAAGGAGGCAAAGATGAAAGTCGAAGGCAGCAGTGAGCAGAGGGACTTAACACCAGGTCATCAGCCCATTAACACGCTGAGAAGTTGAGGCACAAGCCTTAGAGCAGACCTCTGTCTGTCTGGAAGTCTAGTACACCTGCTAGAATTGTCCCTTCTTTTCACAGGCGACCTACCTCTCTCCTGTGCCATGGGTTTGATAAAGAGCTGGCCAGTTCCCACCACAGGGGTTTTTTAAAAAAGGGAAGGTGATTCCTCCCATGCTCCCTTCTGGGGTGCTGAGAGGTGGCCTGCTATCGAGAGAAGCACAGGGCCAGGAGCTGGAATGGCAGGTGCCGGTCCCAGCCTTGTCCCGGCCTGGACTCCCCATCTCCACATCTGCAAAACCAGAGCGACACCAGAAGCCAACGGGCAGGGCCCTTGTGCAGATAAACAACAGTACAGAAGTTGAGACAAGGCTTCAGTAAAACACATGGGTTCCGAACGGAGTTCTCCTCTTTCTATCTATGTGCCTTTGAGCAAGGTGCTTAACTTTTCTGAGCCTCAGTTTCTTTATCTAGAAAATGGGGACAATCGCAGTTCCCACCTTATGGAGTTGGAATGAAGATCAAATGAGATGATGCATATAAAGCATTTGCACAGATCCTAGTAAGACGAACACAATACATACACATTTTATTGAGCGTTTACTTTGTGCCAGGATCTGCTTATCTTAGCTTGAGTCCATCCCAAATAAGATTAGGCACCAAGACAAGGATATAGGTGTAAGAAGTTTATTTGGGGGAGGGGGAGGGAGATGAGGAAGGGAAGTTGCTTCCATGGACAGCTGGGGCTCAGTGCCCCGGGCACCCTCTAAGAGGCTGTGGGGGACATGCCTCAGACTCATTGTGCTGGGCAGTCAGGAGGCTGTGGGGTTTATCCACCATCTCCCAGTCCTGATGGGCTGATGGGAACGCCTGTGGCATTAATTCTCCCACCCTTCACCTGCCCTGCACTTAAGCTAAGCCTATTCCCATGGGGAAGGAGGGAGGGCGAGGGAAACCCAGGAAGATAGTGGCAGGTACAGGGAAACTGAACTGTCTCCACGGGACATGGGTGGGAGCTGGCAGCCTCTGCTACACTGCTTTTAAGCACTTAAAATATTAACTCATTCCATCCCCACCACAGCCCTATGAAATGGGCATGATTTCTAACCCCATTACAGCCTAGCTACTAAGCACTCACACACACATATGAAAGAAATGAAACTCCTACCAAACAGACTCATCCTTGTTCTGTGCAGGGCACTCTGAAATCTTCCGGAGTTTTTTTTTTAAATTGTGTTATTTTTAAAATGCTATTTGTCACCCACTAAATTATTTTCGTAACCCAGTAGTGGGCTGCAATCCACAGTTTTGGAAATGCTGGTGCCCTAACATTCTTTTTAAGAGGACGACATAGATGACGGTGACGATGTCATAGGTCTGGCATCGGGCCTGGTGCCCAGAGGGTGCCCAGAGCATGCTGGTTTCCTTGCTTGCCCTTCTTGGCTCTCGAGCAGCTGC